CCGACTTGAGTAGTTTGCCTTAGAAATAATTGGAAACAAAAAACTAACAGCTTAGTTGAAATAATGTTAATTGGATTTTCTTCAACGGAACTAATAATTTGGTAAAAATTTTAATTTCGACGATGAGAATTATTTGTACAATGTGACTTGTGAACCACAAAATACATAATACAAGAACTCTAAAAAGGTGCTTGAATATTTTATAGACATTAAATAAATCTCAAACAAGAAAAGATTATTACATTCTTCAATAGTATTTAATAATCAAATACAACGCATTATTAGTGAGCAAATAACTAAATTTATTTCTTGTACTTAGTACCGAACAATTGATGTCTGGATTCGTTTTAAATTAAAATTAACTTTCGGTCTTTCAGCATAAAGTTTAAGTCACAAATTGCAATTCAGAGTTTTTGCTCGATCATTAATTTGTTATTTTTTCCTTGACAAAACCGCAACATGTCATGTCTGTGTGGTACTATGTTAATTATTGTTACTTCAACTCTACAACAGTTCTCTGTAATAATATCAATTATTATTTATTCTAAATCAATCGTTTTACAAATTATTTATTTGTGGCCGCCCCGGGCGAATTTCGTAGCGTTTTCTCTTATTACACAAAATGCTGAGCACATTCAGGGGTTTTTGAACATTATCAACAATAATCCTTTGTCAAGTACAATTTAGTCGTCCTTAGTCTTTTCGTATTTTTAATTATGTTTTTTTATTTTAGTAGTAGGTATCAGTATCGCATCTAGCCAAACGTGTTAGATTTCTTGATTGCTATAAAAGTATGGTTTGATAAAATTTGATTCTAATAATAAAAAGAGACAATTAAAAATGAATACAGATATAATTATTTGACGTCATTTCAAATGCTTTACGTAAGCGATGACATTTTGGACGTGCAAATTTCTTAGTTAATAATATATGAACTGATAATAATTCCTACGTTTTAACTTCCACTGCACGATAGACGATAGATGTTATGAAATAAGAATAAATTCATTTAAATAATGTTTTTCATGGAAATGTACATACTGATGTTGAGTAAAAAAATACAATGTATGATGTATTGGCAGCTTGAGAACGTCACGAAGAAAAATGGGTTAGATTAGACTAAGTTTGGAAGATAGGCATTTGACGCAATTTATTTACAAGTGATTGAATAAAACATGCGCCATTGTGCGAACGTAACATATGAAGAAATATTAGGCATACGTCATCAGTGTTTGAATTTTGATGATTGTAATTTTTTGCGATGATGCAGTGATCATTTGTCTTCGACCTTTTGCGTAGGGTCACAGTTTTTTAATGTTTTCTTTTAGTTATTCTGTTTTGTTTCATCATCCATTTCCTCTGTTTTATCTTACATGTGGATAACATTCTTTCTTTGATTATCTTCAGACTCTTATGTCTTTGCACGTGCTTTGAGATTGTTGACTTAGCTTACATGTCTATTGACCTCTTAAAGTAAATCAAGCTTGAAGATTAGATAATGTTCTCAGAAGAAAACGATAGTAGACTCGTGCTTTCGATTATCTTTGTCTGCTTTCACAGCATTTTCATTAATTTACGCATTATGAACTAGATATGAAAGTACAAATGCTTTATGGTTTATTATTTAGTCAAAATTTTGGAACTGTATTTTAATTTCACTATTTCTCTCATTACAGATTCTGATGAAAGACGTTCTTCGACCATTCGTACCTGAATACAAGGGACAAGTTACTTGCGAAGACGGAGAATGTATCCTTTTTACAAATAAAAATAACACCTTCACAAATTACACCAAATCATCAAAGGAGACGAGATATAGAATGACATGTCTTTGTACTTCTAGTGATAACCAAAATTAAAGGGCCGGCTTTTTTAAAATAGCCTTTCTCATAGGCTCTTATAATAATTTGAATTCTATGTATTTAAACCCGCTATTTCCTTAACTAAGCATTCCCATACAGTGTATTTACAACTACAAGACTTGCTGAGCGATTTCGACAGTCCTTGCGTTATGGACTGCAAGATTGGAGTCAGGACGTATCTGGAGGAAGAGCTCGCCAAGGCTAAGGAGAAGACTAAATTGAGAAAAGTGAGTACCATTAACATTTTGTTAACACTAAATTATTTCTATCCTCCTCAACCTTTATTAGATAAATTGTTGCATTTATTTTTCAATCTCCAGAAGTTTTGCGATGAATTAATGGATTTTAATGTTTCATTTTCTTTTACACATTCTTTGCCAGTATTGATGTACATATGTACATATTTATTTCCTTCTTTTCATTACTTGGTCCTTTTGAAGGAACAACAGGCAAATTCCAAATGTTAGACTATGATCCTGTACTTTGATATCAAGCATTAAACTTTACACACGTATCGATAGGCAGACGTCAATATCGTTTTATTGCACTTCATATTTGTGCATTCGATTAAGTTCCGGCTGACCATTAAACGCCCTTATGTCTTTAGCTATAAGGTCGACAAATATTCGATAGTAAACATCAACACTTCATTTTACTACATCACGTACTACTGTTCAAACGTGCGCTTTATACTTTAGCATAGTACCGACGTCATAGTTACGTCGATTGTTATTGTAGTTTTTTTATGCAATATTTGTTCAGATTTCTTTTTTGTTTCAATCTTTCAAGTTCAAGTGTGTATTGGTTGTTACGAAAGCCATTTAAAATCCATTCCAATAAAAAGTAAAAGTGAATTGGCACTGGGTGATTTTCAATGTCTCACAATAAAATTTTGATATGAAAACAAAAAAAATCAAGATTTTTTCGATGTTCCAAAGGGAAGTAATAACAAAATATGTAATGGTAGTCAAAGAAACAAACAAATATTAAATAGATGATGCAAAGCAAAATATGAACAAATAGATGATAGAAGACATAAAATAACTTCTTTATGCTAGCGACCTCCATAACGTCGCTCATAGAGTTCATTGCTTATCCGACAATGTCAGAGAATGTGTGGACGCATTGATAAACCCGTCTTAATTACCACTTCGTACGTCAATGATATGAAACTAAACATATACAATCGTAATTATGTTGTAAGCAGACCAGTAATAAAAATAGTCACCCAAGTCATAATAATTATTGAAATGTTATTTTTACTTATTAGTTGTTATTGCATTATAAATAGCAAGCAATTAGAGGCTATGAATAGATTAGAAGTCGACTTGAAGTTGAAGTAAATGAATGTCGAAAGGTCAATGGGAACGAGATGAAGTAGCGTCTCGAAAATTATTTTTGTGTTGTGAGCATAAAACATCAAAGGCTATGTCATGTTTTGAAGAATTAGTATTCTAGTTTGACAAATTAAAACGGTAGATAATAATCTTAACGTATAACTTACTCCAAAAAGAAATCAAAGTTCTAAACAGTTCTCTTTTTTTTCCAGGATATGTACGAAAAGATGATCCAGATAGACCCTAAAGCGCCAACTGAAGAAGAGCACAGGAGTAAAGGCGTCACGAAGCCAAGGTACATGATCTGGAGGGAGACCATCAGTTCCACTGCGACCCTCGGCTTCAGGATAGATGGTGTCAAGAAAGCTGATGGCACTAGCTCCAAAGACTTTAAGACTACTAAGACTAGAGAACAAATTGTTGAAGCTTTCAAAGACTTTACCAGTAACTTTCCTAATGCTGCGGTAAGTTTCATTGATTTAATTAAAATATTTTAAGACAAAGCTATAGATATATTTGTCATGTAAAAAAATTTAAATGGTAACGTTGATTCCAATGTAACGTAGAAACCAAGTTTTATCCTTTTCATCGCCTTCCATGATTTTTTGTATTCTTATAGTTGTAACTTTTTTAATCTTTTTTGTTTTTTATCTTTACAGCCGAAATACTTAGAAAGACTGAGGAGCATCAGGGATACACTGAAAGAGTCATCGTTCTTCAGATCTCACGAGCTCATCGGCAGCTCCTTACTCTTCGTTCACGACAAAAGAAGGGCTTCCATCTGGATGATTGACTTCGCAAAGACTGTCCCCGTTCCAGACAACGTCAGTATAGACCATGATTCTGTCTGGAAAGTTGGCAACCATGAAGACGGTTACCTCATTGGACTGAATAACCTCATCTCAATCTTCCAATCTCTCATTAAGGACGACAATGGCAATATAGACCAGTGCTATTCAGACGTAAGCTTAGAAAAAAATGTTCGAAAGGACAGTTTTGATACTTGAAGTATCAAGACTTGAGAGAAATCTCATGAGAATTGACTGTGCACCGTGATGTTGTACTGTTATGCATTTTCAGTAGTAATACTGAGCTGTACAGATCTGATGGCATGTTTATGCGACGCTGAACTTAGCGTGAATGAAGTGACGTGTATACAGTGTGAAAATGAAAGGTTTCTCTGTAACGCATGCGTGGATTGAGAAGCATTAAGTTGGGCATCGCAAAAACATGTCAAATGAAACGATCATTTTGATCGTACCCGTTCACGACTATGTACCTATTATATATTATATTTCTTGTAAATAATCCATAGTATTATAAATATATGTGTAACGTTAAGTTTAAAATACTCAATGCTAGCGTTAGATTTGGGCACCACCAATAGTGTTAATGTTTTGTTTCTGTATTGTATTAATTGTAAAATCTAAGGTTATTTCAAGTACCTAATGTTTTCTTAATTGAACCTGATTCTGATCAATTTAGAACAAATTTATTATTGCTAGTGTAAAAGAACTGAAATACAGAACATTATGTATGACTCTCCGTTTTTATTGTAAGTTTTATTATAGAACTTTCATGAAATCATAATAGTTGATTCATTAGCAGATATTTATTTTGTTTTAAGTACACTATATTAGTGTAATGACTCGATGGAAGTCAATATTATAAGTTCAAAACAATCTAAAGGTACTAAATAAAAATATCTCTCGTCAATTTTGTTTATTTTTTATTTCACATCCTTGTATATGAAATTTCAAAATTTCATCTGTTCTTCGAACATGCTCCTTTGTTATTACATCATAGTTAAATTAGACATCTCAAGCAAACATTTTACAACCATTCTCTGAGGAATAAGCAGCAGTCTTATAATTCTAATCAATGTACATTTTATAATTAAATTTTATTTTATGACATCAATGACCTGTTTGTGCATAACAAACAAAGTACCTAATTATAGTCCTTTACTACATCCAATAAAAATATAGACGATCTATTTATTAATTGATTTTAGGAATCACATTAAAACGACTATAAAATATTGGACGGCTTATATTCATCACTTACTTAATTCTAACTTAAATTAAATAAATTACAATTTTAAATAATTACTCACTATATTTACTAAGAGGCACTTTGTTACGTATTGTCTTTGTCTTTAAAGTTGTCTACAACTACATCAGTTAAACTACAACGTCTTGAATCTCCTTCTTCAGCGTTTGCGCTTTCTCTTCGCATACGAGAGAAGAGTCTTGGCACAGGACCTGTGCTGGATCGGCCAGCATCAGGTGGAGCAGGGGAATACCTCCTCGTTCGAGGTTTTGTTACCTCTTCTTCACCTTCAGTCTCTGAATAAGGAGGCGGCGGCTGCTGCAACATAGACATGCGAGTCTCTCGTGCAGCAGTAGCTGTTGGTATCTGTAACTCCGCCCCAGCAACAACAGTTGCTAATGTAGGAGTAAACTGTGGAGCGGCAGCCCTTGCAGACACCCTTCTTCGACGTGGTCCAGAATCATCAAAACGTCTTGACTTATCTTCAAGACTATCCCTACTAGGAGGCGTAGGTATTGAAAAATCTGGTCTAATCGATCCCCTTCGTCGAGACGCAACAGCGCTTGGCTCGGTTATGAAGTCCAGTAGTCCAGGAGGATCGTTAGACGACCCAGCTGCAGTTTCCAAAACTGCTAAGGCTCTGAGAAGATCAGCTACACTCGTGTTTTCTAAGACTTCAACTTGTTCAGCTTCCGGAAGACTAGTTATGTTTACATCTGGGTCGAAAAGACTTGGGCGACCATGTCTTGTTCTATTTCTATAACGCTCTAAATCACTTGACGTTTGTCCCGGTTCTTCAAGAGACCTATTACGATTAAATCGCTTTTGGTTATTAAATTGTTTTATAGAAGATTCTAAATCTCCTGCGCATGAATTCGGCGAACTATTTTTACGAGATCCACCAAAGGATGGGAATAGGCTTCCACGTCCAGAACGAGTTTTGTTCTTGTAATCGACAAGCTCATCTGAACTCTCTGGCATTACGTCGTCATCATTTTTCTTAGAACGACCAAATGAAGGGAATAAGCTAAGGCGTCCCTTTTTCGTACGGTTTTGGTATTTCTTTACCTCATCTTCATCTACAGTATCTTCATCATTACTAGTAAGACCACTGAAATTGAAACTCGGGAATATACTTCGCCTACCGCGTTTAGTATTTTCTCTGTAGCGTTCTGCATCATCTTCAGGGTCACTAAAGTCAAACGTAGGAAATATGCTACGACGACCTGATCTTGTTCTGTCTTTGTATGCTTTAGCATCTTCATCTTCGCTAAAATCAAATGTAGGGAAAATACTGTGTCTTTTAGACTTCTGCTGATAGGCTCTAACAGCTGCTGCATCCTCATCTTCAGAAAAATCGAAAGTTGGAAATATGCTATGTCTTCCGCGACTAGTTCTTTCAAGGTAAGCATTGGCTAGATAATCTTCCTCTTCATTATTGAAATCAAAAGTTGGAAATATGCTGTGCCTACCCCTCTTGGTTTTTTCTTTATAAGCGTCTGCTTCATTTCGCTCTTCAGATCCAAAGAAGGTGGGGAATACGCTCCCTCGTTTTGACTTAGAAGTGCTAGAGGTATCTTTGATATTATCGTTAATGGCTTGAGGAGTTAAGATTTCGTTTGAACTTGGTTTTCGTGAGAAAAATCTTGTTATTATATTTTGAGACGGTGCTGCATCCTCAGGATAGACTTTAGATGGCAGTGACAATTTTCCACTTCTAATATTAGCTTCCCTTCTAAATTTCTCTGCTGATTCACCATTAGTCCAGGTATGCTCATGAACTTCTTGAGGAATATATTCTTTTTTATAATTTGGCACAGCTACACTTAACGCCCTTGTTCGTTTTGGATTATTCGGTATGTAATCTTGACCTATACTAAACTTAGGAGGCCTTTCGTTAGCTAAGATGTGTTCATCATCAAATAGATGTATACCCTTATCGTTCCGATCTTTCTGCGCCTGTTCTAAACCGCCCAATACGTTTACTACACGAGCCAATAATTCAGCCGGTTTGACAATAGCAGACGCAGTAAATGTTTTCTCTTTATCAATTCCAAGTAGATCGGTATCAGATTGAATTCGAAGCATGTCTTTAGCAGATAATTGAATATTTTCGGAATTCGCTCGTTTTCTTTTGTAGATCGGGCCTCTTGGTTCGACGTCATATGTGAAAATCGGACAGCTAGCGCTTCTGTAGAGCGGAGGATGCGCTTCTACATACACCGGCTGAAACGATTACGAAAGTAAATATTAGTTTTGTGAGATTTTTATTTTTTCCCTACTTTTGAATAAAAGAGAATAATTAGTGTCATGTTTGCAAAAATAATGTGATATCGTAGTATGCATTCATTTCTATTTCTTTTATAACTACTATTTCACAACCTTTAATTTATTCGATAAATTGGTTAAAAACGTACCTTTATCTTTATCAAGTTGGCTTCATTAATGATTTTTCGAAGTGCCGACAGATCCTTCGTGAAGCCCTGAAGGATCCTGTTTTGTGTATTCTTGAATTGGCAAGCAAACTTTTGTTCTATCCTATGGATTCGTTCAGATCTCATACCGCTGGTGATAAATCCGAGCAACATCACAATATAGCCGAGACCGAATGTGATCCAGATTATCAGGAATATTTGGTAGGTGCAAAAGTAGCCGTATTTGAATCCGTTGTTCACCGTACCTGGAATATAGGAATACAAATATTAATTGTTGAATGCAAAATGAATATGTAAGTAAGCAGCAAATCTTATATAGTAGAGGTATAAAGCTGAATTTTGTTTTTTTTGTTTGTTTGAACGCACTAATCTCAGTAACTACATGTCTAATTTGAATAATTCTTTTTGTGTTGGATAGCGCATTTATTGAGGATGGCTATAGGCTATAAAGCATCACGCTACGACCAATAGGAGCTGAGTAGAGCGTGTGAAACCGCGCGGAAGTAGCTAGTACTAAATAATGGCACTTAAGGAACGTCACTTTACCACAATCTTTAACGAATTGTGGTGAAACTAATGGTGTAACAATAAGAATAAAACTTCAACAAAACAATAATTCTTACCGGCAACTAAATCACCAAAACCAATAGTAGTTAAGGTGACGAAGGCGTAATAGATGGCAGCAACGTAGTCCCATCCTTCGAAGACCACGAAGATGCAGGCAGGCAGGAAAATGAAGAACAAGAAACCAGGCACCAGGTACAAGAAGATTTGACCCAACATGCCCAAGTTGTTGAAGTAGTATCCTAAGTTATGAGCCCTTTTCTCATTGCGTCTTTTATACTTGCGGTACACTGAGATGAGCTGGAAGAAATAAATGAAATTATTTATTTTATAAAAAAGTAATAGCAAAACGTAATAATGGGGTGTTGCTCTGAATGTTAAAACGTGGTCTATAGATTAGTAAATAGTTGGAACTGAATCAGACCTACACTCATAACTTTATAAACTATGTAAAGTTTAGTTTTAAATTTAAGCGAATATTGTCTACTGTCAATTATATATAGTAAGAAAGGGGTGAAGTCCAAATAAATTGCGACAATTTAGTTTGAAAGAAACTTGTAGAAAGAAAACATAATTTGAATCATAACTAAAGAATGACAACACACGAAATACCTAATTCATGATAAAAAGACATTTTACTACTTTATAAATAAAAATAGTGTCTTTGAGATAATGTGTGGCTTAACTTTATAGATCTCTTATCTTCAACAAATGTTGATGTTTAGTTAAACACATGACTGATTCGTTGCTATTTTGGTGAGCAGGCGCATGTGCGGTTTTATTACGCTTATGACAGTTGTTGTAACCGTCTCATTTTACTATTATTTTTGCTTACTTTACTTCTTATTATGAAGTTTTTGGTTTAACTTGTAGATCAAAGTAAGTGTTATTAGATTAAAATTAGCTATTTTAAGAATTCCATCTCATTCTAATTTTCGTATAGTTACAAAACTTATGACGAAATACCTATTTCGTCTTTCTTCTAGTGAAATAAAAAATTTTACCTATTTTTGCCTGGCCTTCATGATGAGATATTAAAAGATAAAAACAATACAATTAATGGTAATCACCTGCATGCCAAAGTATTCACCGAGATTAGCAAGTAGGATACCGTTGATAGGGATACCAAACAGACCGTAGAATATCATCAAGATCCTTCCCAAGTGCGTTGTCGGCGCCAAATTTCCATAACCTGGAAATATATATTAAGAAATTAGTATTAAACAAGTTTGAGAGTAACAACACTACATTAAGTACTAAGTTTTATAACTTCAAGGGCGAAGACTGTACATAATTCACTAATTCTATTGAGTACTTAATTTTCTTCGGTCTTAGACAATATTAAAGACAATCGTCTATTACAAAACATAATATTTTGTTGTGGTACATTTTAGTAATCTTCACATGTGAACAGAACTGAAAACAAAGACAAAGATATAAACACAAAGTAACTAATTAGACGTATAGTGTTATGCTGAATAAGAATCGTTGAGTTGATGATCAGAACAATGCAAATATGAATGAAGCAAGCCAACAGCAGTTGCTAATAAATGAAACTAAATTTTATACAAGAGCAAGAGTAATTTCATTCAAAATAACTACATATAGATCGTATTATGAAGAAATCTAAACCCAATTTAATATTTTTAGTTAAAACTGTAGGTTGAATATTTTATTATATTTTTTCATACTATCATTATTTTTGAACAAAAAGTGACTGCATAAGACAATGGTTACCAAAACAAGATTAAAAGTTAGTAAGTGTTGAGTGAAAATAAAACTATGGATACTCGGATGGTACGGGCAGAGAAGAATACATTACTTCTCTACATCAGCGACTATCGTAAGAGACCAGACAACAGTGATTTCTTGCAACTTGAACCTGTTAAACTGCGATTACCAATCCTCTTCCGAGGAGTGGAGACTATGAGTAAATTCCACTTAGTAGTAGACTGAACTATCACGCGCTGTTAAAGATGGTAATGTAATGGATAAAAATGGGGATATTAAACTTACCGATAGTACTGACGACGGTGTAGGAGAAGAAGAAGGAATGGTAGAAGTCCCATTTGAAAGGAGGTTCAGCATCTTCCGTTGTGTAGTTGAACATGGATTTCCCGCAGTAGTCCGACAGCTTACGAAGAATGGTGTCCTGCTTGTCCGGGTCATCAGGTAAATAGTTCTCGTATAGTAAATCTGAAATTTGAAATTGTTTTGTTTTATTTACCAAGTAGATTTTAATAGAATATCGGTAAGATCCTAAAGAATACTAAGAACGTATTGCTGTTTATTCCAGAGTCCTGATCATGAGCAAAGAAACTATGAGGGATAGTGAGTGATCAATGCCATCAGTAGTATTATATTTATGTACTAGCTATGGTATTGAATATATCTTCTATCTCTGTATACCTATTCAGACCTTCCTATGTAATTTTTATTTAGTACCTAAGTACGTACTTAAAACCATATGGCTTTTAAAATGTATTTCAACATCATGATGAGATACTAATACAAACAGTCGTGATTGTTAACTTTAATTTCTCGCTATAAATAACAAACGAGGTTGTTAAAAAGTAACAAAATACATATATTGTTATGGCAATCGTGAGATTCTTGTTAACCCAATAATTTTAAACAATGTCAGACCGTAACTGAACCATTTAGCATTCGTCTCCTAACCAAATAACCACGGCGGTAAGAAATATAGGGCTCTAATTAACCTGTTAACGGACTTTTTACTTAATGACAATTTTACGCGCGAGTCAACACAAATTACTTGTTTTTACTCCAAATTGTATGGGATTACTCGATTGATTAGAAGTAGTAAAAAGTTTAAGATCACTGTCCGATGGTGAACAAAAAGGTGCTTTTGTTTGTTGTATGAATGAGAGAAAATGTATTGTTACTGATGACCGTTACTTCACCATGAAATTGGGGTATAAGAAATGTTTGGTCATGGCAATGATATGAATGTTTTCCTTCTTTCGAGAGGCTTTTGAAGATTGTCATTTATTTGGCACCAAGACTTTGAGTCTTTAGTCTAGTCATCTTTGTTGCGGAGAAACTAAAAGGTTACCGGGGCTCCGGCTCGACGTGCAGGAGAAGGAACGGGGTGGTCTTTATTCAGTAAGAGTCTGACACTCCCTCGCGCCTCACCCAGGCGGGAGTAGTTTTTTCAGTTTTCAGCATTCGATGATTTTTCTCCCCTCAAAAAAAAGTCTAGTCATCTTAAACGGTGGAGTTGCAACTCCTTTTTATATTGTATGGCTTTTAGGATTTTGATAGACACGTCACGACACACTTTCGTCAGTCTATTCTCATTAAGTCACAAATTGAAGTAATACTCTACTCATGGGTCGGACCCCTCCACTAAATAGTACGACCTCCAAACCACAAGGTACTCTGTATAGCAGTTGTCCAGTTCATACATTAAAACTACTTGCAAAGAGCCCGATTAATCTAAAACCCGCTGCAATCTATAGAACCCATTTGTGGTTTTGCACAGTAGCGGCCATTCTACCAGCTTATAATGGTATTCAAAGGAAGGCGCGGCCCATATTATTGTGTTATCGTCATTTAATGAATATAAAACCGATTTACGACAGAGGGACTCAATTGAATGGTACTATTGTGGTTTCGAAGGTCGATGTCACTGCCAAGTCCAGTGCAAAGGACAATTAATAGATTTTTAATATGCATACGGACGACTGTTATATGAAATCAGATGGAATATTATATGTAGATGGAATAAGAAGTAGTCTAGTACATTTTTTAGCAGAACGGAAGAGTTGAACTGTTTGATATGTCCTGGTAAACATTACAAAAGCAATGAAATTCAATCCGCGCCTTACAGAATGCTCAACAGTTTTCTAACTTAAAGAGAAGGATAAATCTTTATTACAGATTCCGTCTGATCTAATAATTAGTTAAACCAAAAAAAACTCGTTGGCATTTTTTTGAGGATTGAAAAAGAAATTATATTTCAAAATCAAGTTCATGAACGAAGTTTTTGAAGGAGTCGCTAAATAATACTTTCTGTTTTAGTCCAACATATAAAGAATTTAAGTCAATATATTTAAACATTTCATATCTTAATGTTCTCCGCACGTCAGTCCCCTATATCTAAGAATCCATTGTTGCGTCAAGAAACCCTTTCAACGATAAACTATTGTCAAAAGAGATACAGTAGCTCAGTGGCTTATTAAGTGTTTAATTTCGATTGTCTCTTAAAGTCAAGAGGTCTTCATTGAACATGTAGTAAATAAACAAGAGGCAATGGCGTCAATGTCTAGGGCTGATAGTAATATGTATGAAGAAAATAAAATGGGTAAAGATATAAATATCGTTAGAGTTAAAAAAATGTATAAAGCTTACTATATTTAGATTATGTTATGAAAGATATATGAAATCCCACATTAAAAGTACTGTAAACTATAATTACTTATATTATTGATTTAGGATAAGACGGGTAACAAATTTTACCTAAATGCTAAAAAAATCTTCATTCATGATGACAAACTGCACAAAATATTTCTTTGAGACGGAATGCATCAAGACACAACACTTTAGTATTGATTGGCAACCCTAAAAATCGAGGACAACAATTAATAATGCTTACATACTTAATCGATAACAAGATAAGAGAATCGATTCTAAGGTAGCTAATGAAGCTGACACAGAAATCAACTAGTTCTATATGGTAATCATGTGTTTAATAAATAGCTTAGGATTGAAAGGGCGTGTGCACGCTATTTCTATTACAAATGGATTTATTGGAATCGATATCAAGGCCAAATTATCAGTAACAGGAGTCAGAAACCAAACTCCTCTCAACAATAAATATTGGGTAGATCATTCATAGGTTTTGTCAAGTTGATAGTGTGGATCACAGTAGTAGTAGGTACTGAATCTTGATTAAACTTATCTGAAATAGATCTATAAACTTCTAATTTAAGATTGTAAAGCGTTAATTATTCCAAAATAAGCTCTCTGTATTGCCATTTGACATTGTTACATAAATTTTCTCACACTACACGTGTAAACCAAAGTTCAATAAAATGCACTAAACAAATTATCGTCATTAGTCCTTGAATCCCAAAAATAAGTCCCATAATAAAACAAAGCGTGGATGACAAATAAATATCAAAACACGACATTTTGAAAATCACAACCCAAGTTGCGTTGCGCTGCGTGATGTGGAAGCACCTTACATCACAGGCAGAACGTTTCAATTATCACTAGGGCCATGAATTACCGTGTTAACCGTTTTATCGACGACAATATTATCGTCACTATTTACTTATACACATTACAGAAGAACTTGGGACTTCGTGAATGCTTCGTGATTCTCATTATGACGTAAATCTTTATAGAAGACTTCTGTTGTAATGTTTGGTTAGTTTAAAAGGTTTCTAACCTTCTTCAATTGATCATGGTCTTCAAAATTAGGGCGCTTTTGTTCAATGGTTAACATGTTGTTAACGGGGTGACTATGATGTATTCGTTGTTGGAGATGTAGTGTTGCAAACTGTTTGAGTCAATTTTGGAAAATGTTTTGTGGAAGAAAATTTATTGATGGAATATTACTTAATTTAACCATGCACATGCATGGCGATAGAGAATTAAGAATTGATGATAATGAATTAAACATTGCCAATGTTGATTAATTAGAGTTCGGAAGAAGATTGATGAATCAGAATAACTTAGATGTAGATCACATTCTCGTTGTTCTGTTTTAGTTTGATGTTTTAGTAAATCTGTATTTAATAAACAACACACTATATCTAATGCTAGAACTATTTTTCTAATAGAAGTTTGTCGATAAATCGTGTTAGATAATAAACAGGTTCCCAAGATGTATGCAGATGTATGTGATAGGAAAATTAATAAATATTTAAGTATGTTACTACCACAATAATATTTTCCTATATAAATATTATAGTAACTATTTATATTAATGTTATTCTATCTGCAGACCGACCTCTGTGGTTCAAAATATTGATAATGAATAATTTCCTATTAATGGAGAAGTATTTTCCTCTGATTTCTACGTACTGTGTTATTAATCTTTTAAAGAAGAGGACATTTGTAATTACATGGCCACATTAAAAACCTTCTCTGTTTCATCTCATGAACAGGACAACAAATCTACAAAGGATAAAGTTGCAAAACCAAACGAATAATTCCGATATACCCCGAAAATTTTACAAAGGAAATGTACAAAATTTTGTTTGCCTAGCTGATTTTGTATTCTGTAAAGCAAGGATGGCAGACAACAATTCTAATTTAAGGCTAATTTTCATATCACGACTCGAAGTTTACAGAAGCCATCGCATATTTACTTTTAACGAGATGTCACATGAACGTATTAAGGATATTAGAAGTATCTGACTGAATGATGTTGACAACTGCCTTGGTTCTTAGGAAATGCAAGAGCATGGAGGACGTTCAAGGTTAAATAGACTTAAAAGAAAATGAATTAGAGTTTAAATTACAAGAACAATCTGAACAATCTATTTACAAAATATTCTTAGATGATGGATGGTGCTAGCCACAAAACATCATTGATGAATTATTACTGGAGTAAAATTTAATTATTGACTGATGAAGAGAGCGATTTACTAGATATCTATTAATAAATATCATTTACTGTTTGTTATTGACACAGTAATAACTAAACCAGGAGCCGCTCTTAAAAATTAATTAAAACGAGAGTACCTTAATGTCATTCATAATTATTACGAAGATGAAAAAGACCGAAGCTTATCTAAATGACCAATTAAAACTTAATTTCACTATATCAAACAAAATCGTTTAATGATAGAAGATTTTAGATGAATTGCAATAACACAGGTGGTTGGGGTTTGATGACTGTCACGTACATTACTGGTCACTGATCACGTATCGGGATTTTTATCATTGTGGTGAATTTTGAATCACTTGATTGATCATCATTGAGAATCAGTTCTTAAAATAGCATAGGCCATCCCCAATGTGATAAATGAAGCTTATAAAGATGACAATGAAATGAAAGACGATTCTAACAACAGTCCATATGTAAAATAAAACATATCAAGACAAGATACTTCATAAAATAACCCGTTATTTGCTTGTGGGGTACAATAGTTAATTAGTTAATGTAACAATGTAAAAGGTTACGCATAGGCTGCCATTCTTAAAAATTTGGGCATTGAAAT